CCTGTGACTTCCATTCTGCTCCATTCAAAAGTGATGCATCTTTGGCCGATGTTGTCGCGGACCAGCCTCAAAACCTACATGTGCAGATTCAGACCGAATGTGTGACTAGGAGACACAATAAATCCTGCTCAGCCTTTACTTACCTGTGCTGTCATGCCTTCAGGCGTGATGAATACCCCTGGCACTTTAGGAACGTGCATGGAGACATCCAGTCATGTCTTACTGGCTGGTTTTTACAGCGGTGCCCGCTAGCTTACCTTGGTTGCACCTTTAGCCAGAAGCAATTTCGACCATCTAAATATCGGGCTACCATAAGCTATGATACAGATCTTAGCACTTTCATCTTACAACCAAAGGTGGCAGCGTCACTCTACAAAGGAGTAAAAACCGTTAGCAGTGAACGTAAACGAGCAAGGAATCTAGATTCTCTGAGCAGACTTCCTTTTGAGATCTTACAACACATAGTGAATTTTCTGGATAGTGTGTCTTTGGGTCGTCTATCTCAGGTTTCCCAGCTAATGAGGGAAGTGTGCAGCACTGTTCTTCAGCAGAAGGGCATGGTGTCCCTCAAATGGGAGAAAAAGACATATTCTCATGGTAGATTTACCTGGAGGGCCCGAAAAAAGGTAAATGCTTTTCTTACATGAACCTGTATACTGTTATTTTTCCTGTGGAACACAAAAGAAGGCATTTTTCAAGAATCTTTAAGCTGTTTTTTTTATTTTTTTTTTGCCCCATACAATTCCAATTCATAGTAAGTATGACTGCTAAGTTACTAAAAACACCATAAACCCAGCAAACACAAAACAATCCTCAAACATTAGTTTATGTTCCTCTTTGGAAACCAATTACTATCCTTAAAAGGAATGTTCTTTATTAGGTTGTATTGTATAAACTTCATTGGGCCTCATTCATGAAACATTCGTAAATATATGAGTAAATTCGGAGTAATTTACGCGTAAAACGGATCTTCCCGAAAACTCTCCTCCGGATTCACAAATACTTCGTAAAGGTCAGATTTGATAGTTAAATGTGTGTATTTTAATGAATTCCAATCATTCGTAAATAGGGCACGCATGCACGCTCATTCACAATTAGCATATTCCCCGCCTATGAATTACAGCTACGCAAATTACGTATCTAGGAATGGTGTGGAATCCTTGGACTCAATTCTCAAGTTTGGTAAGTTATATAGCATAAATGCATAAGAGACTAGGCTATATGCCTAACAATAAATGAATAAATTAACGTGTGTCCACCAGAGCGTTTTTAGCCAGCTGACATAATGCCTGGTGCCCTTCTGAAAACGACCAGCTGGTGGTGCTTGAGAGAGCTTTGGAGGCACTGCATATTTCTGGAGTGACGCGTTGTTTGCTATGATTTGGAATATTCACGGCAGTAACATGTTACGAGTATCTTATTTTGAAGAATATTACTGAATATAAAAATGCAGTAACCAGCAATATTAACTTCTCCATTGTTGTGTTGTTACAAGTATGATCATGGTTGATCAATGTATTGTTTGTCCCGCCCCTCCTCCACTGTGATTGGACGGCTGTGTAAAAAGGGACAGTGACGAGCTCTGCGTTTTACCCAAAGTTAAAGAGTAAAAAACGAAAAAAAAAGACAGGGCAAATGAACTAGTTAAATATCATTCTAATACATAGTTCATAAAAAAGCAGTGTCATCAGTTTGTCTAAATACAGAACGTTTGAATGTTTTATGCACCATTTACACATGGTAGGGAGCTGGGGCCCATTTTTCGTACGTCGCTTATTACTTCCAAGATGAAAAGTCATTTACGAGATGATAACTTTGCGATAATAAGGATCT